AACGTACAATAATGAATACTGTGCTGATATACTCCATGATATCAAATTTTTCTGACTCTAAGTTGGTTGTGGTTGTCGACAGAGCGCTTTGTGGCTTGATATCGGAAGGATTTCAACAGGATTTGGAATTGGGATTTTGTCATATGTGGTAATTGAAGTAGATTTGGAGATCAGATATTTCAAATAACAATTATTAAATCCTCAGGAGGTATTCAGTTTCTGAATCTCAAACAGGTACCTGTATATATAGCAGAGATAACACCTAAAAATGTTCGAGGAGCATTTACAGCTATCAATCAGGTGCACAAAAATGGTTTTCTAATAAAGACTTCACTATAAAGCATTTACGGACAGCTTGTCCGTAAAGTGCTCCATATCTTTTGCCAACTCTAGGAAATTAGAATGTATTAAGTTAAGCATTTATGCTCTAAACATCTGGATAGATGAAGAATGGGTGAATCCCAATCTTAGATGCTAGGCATCATTGATCTTGTGGGACAGCTTGTCCGTTTGATTGGACCTTTGTCCAAATACTGTAAAGTTTACGGATATTTATATATAAAGCTAACGTTTCGACAAAAAAAAATAAAAAAAATAAAAAAATAAAGACTTCACTCCAGCTGACAGCGTCTGATGCTAGATGCTTTAACCTTCAGGTTTTGGTATGCACTGGACATTCAACTATGTTTGTAATTGGAAATTTCATCCACTGGCGAATCTTGGCTTTAATTGGTAACTCTAATTGCCTTGTTTCCATTGGATGATCTGATCATTTGATGGTCGCCTTAAATGGACTTCCTTACCTACTATGCCAATACAGCAACCATTCCATGCCTGCTACAGTTGCTAGGCGTTTTCTTCATTCCAGAGTCTCCAAGGTGGCTGGTAAGCGTTAGGGAAAATTTAATGAAAAATTATAAAACATTTGTACAGTTTGAATTCTAAGATTAATGAATTGCCTTATGCAATGTAGAGAAAACTGAGTGACTCTCTCTCTCTGACATTCTCCAGGCTCAGATCAATAGGTGGAAAGAATGTGAAAGTTCTCTGCAGCGCCTTAGAGGAGCTAATGCTGATATTTCAGGAGAAGTCGCGGAAATTAGAGTAGCATTCACATTCAACTGCTTCAATGTTTCCTTTCTTATGAAATATGTTTACTGACAGAGAATTAACTTTTGATGCATTCTCAGGACCATACAGAAACCCTGAAACAATTATCGAACTCTAATTTGACTGACTTGTTCGACAGAAAATATGCTCACGCACTGATTGTAAGGCTTATTCTCAGTTTCTACCACTATCTATTCATAGCATTCGACATGGAAATACTCAACCCTTTTTAACTTTTTCCCCCCCTTCAGGTGGGACTAGGAGTAATGGGATTGCAACAAGCTGGAGGGATCAATACCATTGCATATTATGCAAGTGAAACTTTTGAGTCAGCTGGTCTGTAAGCTTGTCTTGCTAGCAAATTATCTCCTTGTTGAGCTTTTAGAAAGATGACAAAATCATCAATATATAACTCAAATCTGACAGGTTGTTCTGCTGCCGCGGGGAGTATCGCGGTGGTGGTTGTTCAGGTTTTCTTTCTATTCAGTAAAAACTGTTCTCTTTTGGGATTCTGCTACATACATACCCAAAACATTTGTTCTATCTACAGCTTCCAATGACCATTTTGGGGAGTCTCCTACTGGATAAATCAGGAAGGGTACCATTAATCATGGTAAGAAATTCGGAGATTCGAATAATATATTTATAGTGTATCTCAATAGCAGCTCACACCAAGTCCACTGCCATTTTCAGGCTTCTGCAGCTGGATCATGCTTGGGTTGGTTTTTATTGGGATCGTCATTCCTATTAAAGGTTCTGCTTAATTCATCCAGCTTTTTCAATATGTTCAGGTTTAAAACAACTCTGTACTGAATGAATGTACTTTGCAAAACAGGACCTACGACTATCGAAGTCCAGTCCATTTTTGGCATTCATCGGTGCACTGGTAAGGAAATTCCTGCAGTTGGAAAAGCCTTTCATTATGTCTTTTTCCTTTGGTGGCATCACAATGTTAGGCATCATCCAGAAAAAAAAAGTCAAAAAAAAAGGGACATATAATTACCAATAATATTTGGGATGTTGCTATCAGGTATTTGAAGGATCTTATTCACTTGGAATGGGAGCAATTCCTTGGGTCATAATGGCAGAGGCAAGTCATTCAGCTTCAGTTGAATTTGATAGCCAAATAACCTGTAAAAGATTTTGAGTAATGCCCAGATTAAGCCTTTCCTGGGCTCATGGTCAGATGGTTTCTTTTTCAGATATTCCCCATAAATGTGAAGGGTTTAGCTGGAAGCCTGGTGACAGCAGAAAGCTGGCTAGGTTCTTGGATAATTTCATATTCTTTCAATTTCCTTGTACAGTGGATTGGCTCTGCAGGTAAATAGCTGATACCTGAAGATTATCTGCTTTCAATATCCCTTCTGATATTTAGTCTTATAGTGGATTTTGATCTCTTTCTTTCGTTTTCAGGGACATTTTTTATGTTTTGCATCATCAATGGTTTTGGTCTGGTATTCATTAAAAAATTTGTTCCAGAGACCAAAGGGCGTACGCTGGAAGAAATTCAGGCATCCTTGGTTTTGTTTACGAGCAAAAATTGAACATTTGAATTCATTTATTATTGTTATTGCAGGATTTTTTTATATTTTGTTTCCAAAGTCTATATTGTACTGTGAAGCTAAATTTGTCTGACGATACAAAGAATTTGACAGTGGCCTAAGTGACTACTGCTTGTCATTCTTTGCATCAGATATAAATGCCAGCAGCGCCTTTAATACATATATTGAAAATGTTCGGATTTTAATACATCTATCTCTAGATCCATCTGTATCTATTTATATCAGCATCTATCTAACTACGAGCCCATTTGGATTGCATTTTTTAGAGCGTTTTTGGAGAAAAATTATTGTAGAACCTTTTTTAGAATGTGATGCATGTGAATAAAAAGGAAAGATTCGAAATTATGTAAAAGTAATATTCACAAAAAACGTAAAAATTTTTCTTTGAAAAGTTATAGTTCAAAAAAGACGTATGCGATTATAAAAATCATCTGTTCTTCTTTTAAAAAAATGCTTATTTTTATCACAAATATGCAGAAATGTCAAATGTTTTGTTAATACTAGGGGGAAAAGCCCACGCAACGCGTGGGAATTTAGTGCCTATAATTAAAGATGGTTAATAATTATTATTTGGCATTTTCTAGTATAAGAATTGAAGTATGATAAATTTATTATGTGATATTAAATTAAAAAAATCATAAGTTACATATTGAGTTAAAAAATATAATATGCAATGAAACATAATTATAAGATACGATCTACTACTTTGCATCTAACCTAGTATAATAAAAGACCTATTTATATCTGCTCATGTACTTTAGGGATATTAAAATTTGTTATTTAGTTTGAATTTGATTTTGCTATGAGGGCAATCCACCACATTATCTTGTCATATAAGTGAGATTTGAACAATTAGCATACTTGAAGAAATCATTGCTAGTAGAATTTCGGTTCTTGCAAGCCAAATTCTTGAATTTATATTGATTCTAAGGACATATATCATCACGAGGCCTTCACATTGAGCAAGCAATTAATTATAATTTATTGTATGATTTAGGACATATAGCAAAGAATCTCCTTCTCGACAGGGGTTACAATCACGAAATATCAGTTTTGTATTAGTTGCAAAGATATACAACAACTAACATGCTAATTTAGAGGAATAATTACCTCAAAAAAGTACTAAAGCATCTTAATCCACTCAATTTAAGAAAAACAATTAAAAGTAATGAGGTACATACTTTAGATTTGTAGCCAAATAGTTTTAAGTAGATAGTTAAACATATTGGCAAAATCAGATGAAGTGAAAAATTGTCTAAATGGAATAGTCAATAAAGTAGCAAACGATTTGAAAATTACCCTAACTAATAGTTAAAACAACAAAAGAAGTAGATGTAATCTATAAATGGGAAAATTTATGATGATAAACTTATTTTAAACCATAAATAACAATTAACAAATGTGGTCTCTTCCTTATCAAGCTTGTCTAACATGGGCAATTGAATTAAAATACTAAAAAATTATTGCACATACAACTTGCAATATTACAGATTTTTTACAACCAAAAAGTAGATTGGTTAAAGAAAACATATATATTGAAAAAGGTGTTGCAAAATAGGGAAAAAGAGTAGCTAATGTAACAACATCCGAATTAACATCTATGATAACGGCCAAGAAACCAGACTTCTCTACTAATTGACATTAATTGTGTCTTAACATCTATATATCATAACTTTGCAAATAACTAATGAGAAAGGGTTTAAGAAATTAAAAGACTTAGATGTTAATACAATTAAATGATTAGAAAGGCTTTTATGTAATTTCACTAAAACACAAGCTGAATTCAGTTGTACCCAATGTTTAATCGGATATCAAACAATATCACATATCAAACTTACCCCTAGTTTTAAATGTTTAAAAGGACATCCAAGTAATTACAACAAAACTAAATTAGTTATAATGACTCATATTCAATACTCTAATTGCACTTCAAACACTCTCACATTTCCAAAAAAGCCCCACCCTTGCGGTTGAAATTCAAGTCCTAAACTCATTCTTATATAGTATAAAGAAAGATATTACTGCATACATCAAAACTTAACCCTTAGGGAGTGCAGTGGACTTTTTTCATTGAATTCTTGGATTTTTTTTTTTCATTTTCATTCTTTTCATTTTTTTATTATTTTTATGACCAGAAATTTGTTAGTGTAGACTGTAGATAGACTAAAAAATATGGCGTCTCCAAATATGTTTTTTAAATTGTCTCCTATCAATATATCAAAACATTAAAAAGAAAAATGTTACAAATACAAGCTTTGAAGAATCTTTTCTTGATTGAATTTCAATCTTGTGTCAAGTAAAAGCAGACAAAGAAAAGGAAGGCCGTCTCTTATTTTATCCGAAACAAGACAACACAACCAAACAAACAAACAAACAAAATACTTGTGCAAATCCTCTATCATTGAGTTGAAGTTGCTACCAATGCCAAGTTTGCCAACTCTCTAAGGTTCTTCTGCATGTTCAGTTCATCTCATTTCTTTTCTTGTGTCCATTCATTTGATGGAGCCACAAAGCATAGTTGATTTTGATGAAGAAGCCAGCAACCCTTTACTTAGAAGAGCAAGTCCTGACACAGAAAGCCGTGAAGATGCTGAGGCTGGGAAGATTAGCAGCCCTGCTTCTTCTGGTGCCACAGCTTTGGTGATATTCAGCACTTTGATATCTGTCCTGGGTTCCTATGTCTTTGGAACTGCAGTAAGTACAGAAAACTGTAACTTAACAGGATTCCTCACAGAATGTTATGGTAAATTCAGATCACTAGCTAAAATCCTGAATTTCTTAAAGGTTGATAATAAGGATACATAGTCTATGTTTGATATCTTTGATTTAATGTCCATAATTGATTTTATAACTCAAAAATTGGTGTGTTTGATCTTATTTTCTGATATGACTCCTAAAAATGATTGTGCTCAATTGTTGAAAGAAGTTCGTATGCAGGTGGGATTTTCTTCTCCTGCTCAATCTGGAATTGTAAATGACCTAGGCCTCTCAATAGCTGAGGTAATTTCCGCAGCTCTTTTAAGTATGCGATAAACTTCTGCCTTTAGATCTTAACAGTTATGTTCCTTTATGTCTCTTTTTCTCAGTTTCAACATAAACAGTTGGAGTTTGTGTTATTTCCAACCCCTTCTTTATGGAATTCTTGTTGCAGTATTCCGTATTTGGTTCAATATGGACAATTGGAGCAATGCTTGGTGCAATAATAAGTGGGAAGATAGCAGATTTCTTTGGAAGGAGAGTGGTAATGTCTCTAGTACTGTGTTTCTTTAGATAATCCATCTCAGTGACTCAAAATCCCTTTCATTCATTCCCTCGAGGGTCTTCATTAAATTTTTCCTCACATCCTCCTTTCGTGGTCCTAAAAAGTGAGATCCTATAGTATTCTTCAATAACCTCATCTCTTGTTTAGTTGTCCGTCAATTTTGCGTTTCCTGGCTGAAGTAAAAGAGGAATTTGTAGTTTACTTTGATCTAGTTCTGCAGGCAATGGGGTTCGCAGAATTGTTTTGTCTTGTGGGCTGGACCGCAATTTCATTCTCACAGGTACTGAACTGTGTATTTTATTTTGCATTTGTTTTGATCCTTTTACATTTGGTGGTCATGGAAGAGAATGAGCTTCATAAATAGATAATCACAGAGATTTACTTCCATGGAATATGATTGATAACTTCATGACTGTGTAATATCCTCAAACTACATATGTTATTGATTTTATATTTATCCTCTCGAAGAAGAATTTGCTGTTTTTAGATTCTGAACACAAGTCAATGTAAGTTTTGCATATGGTATTATTATTCTTGATTGGATGATCATCATCTTGACATACCTAACAAGGATAAATCCTAGGCATCTGCGTGCTCTATATATATAACTTTCTAAGATCCTAACTAGATCTTTTTGGTCATTGACAGAATGCTTGGTTGCTTGACATTGGACGGTTTTTAGCAGGATATGGAGTTGGGATTCTGTCATACGTGGTATTTACCATTGACCAAATATTTTGTTTATGAATCTGCTCTTGGACTCTAAGATAATATTTAGGTTCTGAATCTGACACAGGTACCTGTATATATAGCTGAAATAACACCTAAAAACCTTCGAGGAGCATTTACAGCAGTCAATCAGGTAAAGCAAATTGGTTGGAGAATAAGATTTTGCATTCAATTTGATGGTTTTGATGCTAGATGCTAATAAAACTTCAGTTGATGATATGCTGCGGGGGGTCAGTGATGTATGTTATTGGAAATTTCACCTCCTGGCGTACACTGGCTCTGATTGGTAATTCTGTTTGTCCAACCTCCATTGCCTCGTATGATTGTTAGTCAGTTAAAAAGGACTTTCTATACTCTGTCATTTCAGGAACCATTCCATGTATACTGCAGTTGCTAGGCCTTTTTTTAATTCCAGAATCCCCCAGGTGGCTGGTAAGTTCAGAAACAATTCAGTAAATCAACTTCTTGCTATTAAGGAGTGCATTAGTAATGCTTTTACGCAAAATATTCTGTTTTCTTACGAGAAAGTTTAGGGAACTATTTAGGAGTAGAAGACTTGTGTGAAACTTCCCCTTCAATTATGTTCCTTTAACCCCTGTAATCTTATCAATTCATTCAATCAGGACAAAAACTGAACTAGATCTGGACTTTCTGCAGGCTAAGATGGATAAGTGGAAAGAATGTGAAACTTCTTTGCAGCGCCTTAGGGGAGCCAATGCCAATATTTCTCAAGAAGCAGCTGAAATCATAGTAGCATTCAGACTCTCTTTTATGTACTTTCTTTCTTAAGGGATATTTTTGACAAGGAAAATTGCGTTTCCAGGAGTATACTGAAATGCTTAAACAATTGTCTGACACTGGGATGATTGACTTATTCCAGAGGAAATATGCTCACGGACTCATTGTAAGATCTTCTACTGTTATTTGATTTTTATATTAGACTCAGAAATTCACTAAAATTATAAAATTCAATCAGGTTGGAGTGGGTCTAATGGTATTGCAACAATTCGGAGGGGTTAACGCCATTGCTTATTATGCAAGCGCAATTTTTGAGTCAGCAGGTTTATAAGCTCTTTTTGCTACTGATTCCATCTGCTGATAATTTAAGAAAGGTAATTGAGGGTACAGAAATTAATATATGATAGGACAATGACAGGTGTTTCTAGTAGGACTGGGACTTTGGCCATGGTTGTTATTCAGGTTTTCATTTGATTCACTGCTGTTCAATGTTGGATTCTGCTCCACGCATTTGTAAACATTTCTGTTCCATCTACAGGTTCCAATGACCCTTTTGGGGACTCTCCTAACCGATAAATCTGGAAGGGTACCACTGCTAATGGTAGGAAGGTTGTCGTCAATAAGCTCTTAGGTTTCTGCAGTTAATATCTGCTCGTACTAAGTCCATTACTATTGCAGATTTCTGCAACTGGAACATTGTTGGGTTGTTTCTTAACAGGATTGTCATTCTTACTACAGGTTCTACTTATCTTAATACACTTTACTCCGAATTAAATTGATTGATCTATAAAAATTTATGTACTGAAAGAATATACTCCACAAAACAGGACCTTCAACTCTGGAAGGACAGTCCATTATTAGCATTAATCGGTGTGCTGGTAATGCAATTCTTATGAAATTGAAATTTTCCAGTTTCATTGTTTTCTTTGTATACTGAATATATTCTTAGATCTGCTAGAAGTTTTACCACTTCAAACCTGCTTCTAAAAGCTCAAGAACTATATACAATTGGAGACTTACAAATCTTCCTGAAGTTCCTCTAGCTTAGTAATAGCAGACTAGTACCAGCCACTGTGAGGAAATGGTTACAAATTGGAAAAAGGGAAATACCATACGGTACTAATATATGATATGCATCCTCCTATCAGATCTTTACAGGATCTTTCTCATTAGGGATGGGCGGAATTCCTTGGGTTATAATGTCAGAGGTATGTCATTTATCTTTGAAGTCTTCATAACTGAATGCCACAAAAGGCAATAACGAAATTTTCAGGAATGAGGAAAAACAGATTTGTACTAAATGTAGCCCGGAGTAGATTCTTGAATGAATATTTCCTCTGTCAGATATTTCCAATAAATGTGAAAGGTCTAGCTGGAAGCCTGGTGACAGTTGTGAACTGGTTTGGTTCTTGGATTATTTCCTATTCTTTCAATTTCCTTACAAAATGGATCAGCTCTGCAGGTAATAAAGCATGCAAAAACTTAATCATCCCTTTTAAGACTTAGTCGTCTATTGATCATATTTTTTTTTTCTCTCCAGGGACATTTTTCTTGTTCTCAGTCGCAAGTGGTTTAACTATCATATTCGTTGCAAAGCTTGTTCCTGAGACTAAAGGGCGTACCCTGGAAGAAATTCAAGCATCCATGGTTTTGTTTACAAGGAAAAGCTGAAATTTCAAATCCATTCTTCATGGTTGTAGAGGTGTACTGTTCTATATGCCTGTTGCTTTGATCTGCATATCTACATCTTGTTTTTGAGTTAATTGCTGACAAAAGCACAGAAAATAAAAATCCATACTTCTCCATATGATTGTAGTGACTATTTATCAATCCCCCTACAGATTAAAAATGCTTGGAGTTTTGAGTACAAGTGACTTTTCATTAGCATGTTGTTCTAAGAAATGCAAGTAGCAAATTGCACCAGCTTCAAATATTGCAGTAAACTTAAACTGCAATTTGAGCTGATGTTTGGCCCTGCAAAAAGTATTAAAGTCATAATAGCTTTGGTTGGAAAATATTGGATAATAGGAATGTCGAAGTAGGTATAACACAAACCTTTTGCAATGAACCTAAGAAAACTTTCCTATTTGTTTATGGATTACAAATATTGGAGTGGATGAAGTGCCCAATTTGTTGGCCATCATACCTTCATGGTAGCACACAAAAAGAAAGAGTGTACTTCACCAAATGGCTTTGTCAAATTGTTATGTTGAGATCTAGCATCAGGTATTCATAGGGTTTTGCCACTACTCCTATCTATGACTGTAAGGGGGATTTGTCGTCTTAAACAGAAAATTACTTATTTGCATCATAAACATATTTTTTAATACATTTTTTTTAAAATCTTTTTAACTATCTTTTTATCACAAATACATCACATCACAAAAAGTGTTATTAGTAATTATTTCAAATAAACTCCTGTCCAAACGCACACGAAAATGTACACTCAAAAAGAAGAAAACTATTTTGGTCGAACCAATATCTCAAAAAATCTCAAAGTATTGCCTTCTTTGATACTTTTTTGCGTCAAATTCTTGGTTTTTATGATTCAGCTAATTGCTACAAATAACATTCTTGGACTTGATTGTTAGCAAATTATTTATGTCTGCAGAAATACAAGATCCGGGAATGTTAAGGATACACTGCTCCTTTTTTTGGTTATTCATGATCCTATTATAATTTTCTTTTTAATCAAGAGATTATGCTGGTGGATTAACCTCACTGTATCAAGAGATCATGCCCTTTATAAATTATTGCCCCTTCACGATTTACTCTTAGTGATTTCATGTTTATACCATTAAAAAAAAGAAGAAGAAAATATGCATATCTTTGAAGAATAGAAAAATAATAATGAAATATCCAACCCACTTGAAGCACAAAAATGCACAAACCCTAAACATTTTCATAGTGCATACCTTCATGTGTAGACTTTAGTAGGAATTCTCGTTTTAATAAAAAAATTTAAAATTTTTAGAAAATTGTTGATTTTGATCAAGATGTACATCTTGCTTGATTAATTTATCAATATATTCTATTACAGAATTATTTTTCAAGGTTAATTTTCTTGTTGAAGAAAAAATTATTAAAAGGATGTGTTTGCATGAGAAATGAGTTGCAACATTTATTTTTCTCTAGAATTGTTTGTTTTTGAATGATATGTGGCGATTTAATAGATGCTGGAATAGAAAATGGGACAAAAAATCATTTGCGTCAGTAGTATATGGACATTAAAAAAAAAAGAAATAGGAAAGAAAAAAATGGTAGGGGGAGTGTGAATTAAAAAAAAAAAAATTGGGCGTCATTAACATTCTCCAACAAAAATATCACGTGCTATGATTTTGGATTATTGGGCCAAATTCTAGAATAAGACTTTTCTTTTTTGGATCAATTTGTTAAAAGACATCTTGTGTGACATTTTGGATCAATTTGGAAGAAGTTTGGGTCGGCGTCACGTAGTCCATGGACCGCTCTGCTACTTTAGGAGCCACAAGGTTTTAAATCCAATCCATGTTTCTTTTTAATTGCCCCACTGCCCCGTGCTTTCCCCTAAGATATAACATGTACTTAAAAAAAAAAAGGAAAAACAAAATTTACAAGTACTATTTGCAAGATTTGAACTATTTTGAGAAAAACTTGTGAAATGATAAATTAACCAGAAATCAAGCTTTAATAACTTGTGAGTTGTGACCATACTAACTAATTAAGTCTAGGTTTGACCAAAGGAAACTAATTAAATCCATAGCATTGAGTTAAAAATTCAAACTCGTTGTGAAAACAATTTTTGTTTTTGAAAACAATTTTCTGAGCATGCTCCAAAATAAGTTTTCATTTAGTGTCCTTAATTTAGCAATAATAGGAATTTCAACTACACACGTGCTTCCAGTTAAAAATCGGAGCCTCGATGAGTCTAATCTAATTTCCACTTTATTACAAGTAAACAATAATAGATTATGAATATTTGAAAAATAGAAGTAATTTCATAATTCTTGCACAACTATGTTTGCACTCAATTTTAAAAATCATTTATTTAAAACAGTCTGTCCAGGGCACCCATTAAAATATATTTCAAGAGCTACATTTTTGGAAATATAAGATTAATTAGGGAAAGTAAATAAATGTAAGGAAGGGTAGTCAAGATTAAATAAGAAAAATATATAAATACAAACTCGGATAATAATTATTAGTATATGTATATATATGGTAAGTTAGATGAATGATAGGTGTGTGTGTTAACGAGTGCTCTTAGAGCACTCGCTAGAAAAACCCTATATAAAATATTTCTACCCTTTTTGGAATTTTATAAATACTACTACACTCAAGGTCATGTGGGCAGGGAAAAAGGGATGTGATTGCTTTAAAGGTCTAAGAAGGGTACTTTTGAAATCTCATTTTCTGGCATTGTAAACCGTGAACTGCCAGTCTTCTTTTCATTATAGTGAAATCATCTTAGATACTAGAATTTATATATTGTGAGACTTTCCTATATATTAAAACTTAAATGAGAAAAAAAAAATGCATTCCAATATTTCATACAATTATGATTAGATTCTTCGTTTCCACCCGAAACTAATCCACAAAACAAAACTTCATGTTGCTTCTATTACACAAACTAGTATGTTGGACAACTTGTGCAAAATCATTTTCTGCTAAAGCACCTTTATATCACATGTTGAATGTGTACATCTTTAAGTTTGTCACGTACGTCCTGCCAAAATCTCCCCACCTTCCTTCCTAATATTGCTTATAAACCAGCATCACATGCATAACAAACATAACTAATCCCAATCAATAATCAAACACAAATCCCTGTTAATTTCCTTCTTCTTCTCATCAATGGATCTTCAACCATGTCTAGAACAGCAACAACAATCCCATGCAAATGATTCAACACCAAATGGAAAACCATATTGTAATTCAATACAACATCCGGTGCACAAAACCTTAGCCACAGCCGCCAATCTTGCAAACCTTCTGCCAACAGGAACAGTCCTAGCATTTCGAACTCTCACCCCTTCATTTTCCAACAAAGGAAGATGCCAACCTTCCAACAAGTATCTCACTGCATTTCTTATCGGATTCTGCACGGTTATCTGCTTTTTTTCCTCATTTACTGATAGCTTCTTTGATAAACATGACGGGAAGTTGTACTATGGGATTGCAACTTTCAAGGGCTTGTACGTTTTCAACAATGAATGTCGTGATCATGATGAGAAATCAGAGGGAGAAGACATGAAGGAATTGTCTAAGTACAGAATTCGTTGGATAGACTTTGTCCATGCATTTGTGTCACTTCTTGTTTTCTTGATCTTTGCTCTGAGTGATACTGACGTTCAAAATTGTTTCTTTCCGGAAGCAGGATCAAATATGGATGCTTTGTTCATGAATTTGCCTTTGGGAGCTGCGATTTTCTCAAGCTTTTTGTTCACTATCTTTCCTACAATTCGTAGAGGTATTGGATATGCTGATTTGCCTACCCGTGCAAAATAAGAAAGTTTCCATCCAATTAGTCACTATCCTCTTTGTAAGTGTATAATTTACAGAAAGAATTCCAGGGCTTGTTTATTATTAGTCGCAACAATATATAACGTTGATGTATATACGTAATAAACTCACAAATTGTGAAACTTGAATCCAAGAGCTCTAAATCTTATTGTTAGTACTAAGTGATCTTTTACCATTTTTTTTTTTTAAAAAAAAGGGATCTAGCTCATGTGTGTTTTTGCAGAACTAAAGCAGAAATTGAGGAAGAAGAAAAGAAGAGATGTTAGTTTTATTGTGTAAAAGGATTGATTTGAAGAAAAACAAATTTCAACGATGACACATGAAAAGGAGTTTTGCCCACTTCGATTTAATGTACGAGTTTTTTTTTCCAAAGACATGACCAATGATGACAAAAGACAGGAAAGTGGAAACAAATGAGTTCGGTTTTGATTATTTCATGGAGGCTAGCTGGTCCTAGTTTGTTAAGAAAAGTATGGATGAAGTGCATGAGATTCTTTAAAAATTCTTACGTTTTATTAACTCACGAGCATGGAAAATTATCATGATTGATAAGAATGGAGACGGGCAGGGACGGTTATCAGAAGAATCATCCCTGAACAGTTTACCGTCAGGATTTGGCCCAAAAAAAATTATACTTCCAGATCATTTCTTGTACCTCGTTTTTAACAACGTGTGTAGGGTCCACAAAATTATTCTAAGGTTACAGGTTGTGCAAACAAAGTTACGCTGTGTGCAAACAAACTTACGCGATGTGCAAAATGCACAAAATCGCTAAGAACGGTTTGCAACCGTTCCTACCCGTGGTCCGATAAGTACAAGTATTTTATGAAAAAGGACTAATTACAAATTTACAATTAATCCTCTAAAATATATACTACTGATACTCACTTTACACCTTAACTTTCTTTCTTTGTATCACTTAATTCTTTGTAAGACAAAAGTATCCCTCTCTCTCTCTCTCTATGTATGAATTGAATCAGAAAACTGTTTTGGAGCTTTGAGAGTTCAAATAAAATGTGTATCTTCATTTTGCAACAGCTGAGAACCAAAATTAAAATAATTTTAACTGCTATGTGATCACAAAAAATTGTGAATCTCCTTTGCTTTTCATTTTCTAAAAACAAAATAACTTGGACTCGGTCTCTGGAGATGAACCTTTAGGTGCGAAGAGGAAGGAGTAGAAAAGGAAGAAGAAAGAGAAAAAGAAAATAGAAAAGAAAAACAAAAGGGAAAGGAAAAAAAAGAAATAAAAAATTATAAAATCCAAACGATAAATGGGATAGTTTTGTCTCAGAGGGGATTTAAGTGACAAAAAATTAAGAAAAACAATTAAGAAATAAATTGAGAATCAGGATATATCTTCTAACGAACCCTCTAAAAAATAACTAGAACGTTGCAAGATAGGGTGAAATGAAAAAAAAAAATAGATTTTTGTACTTAACAATGAGTTTTGTTTTTTTCTGAGATAATTTGTCAGGTCAATGTCGCAACCTTTGTCACGAACGGCCATAGCACGACGTTGATACAGTCGGACGATGAGACAATGTAGCCATGTGCTCCCTTTTTTACTCTGATACAGTCAAAACGATGAGACAAGTTTTTCAGCTTCAACTTTGGAATCGGAACGTGTAAAACATGGCAACAGGAGGAATCACTGTCATGAAAGTTGCCTACACAATTAATCCAAAATTGTGGAAGCAATTTCATGAGGATATCCAAATTGATTCAAATGCTTCCTAAGAATTTGTCTAGAAAAGGAAGAAAGAAAAAAAAATTCCCATTCGGATTGCTATTTTCTGGAATTTTTATAGAAACATATACTGTAACGATTTAATATATATGAGATAAAAAAATAATTGAAAAATGGTTTACGAAAAATATAAATATTTTTTTGGGGCAAAAATAGCTTTCCAAACAAGACGTTAGAATTTGTGATAGAGCCCCTTGTACCATTATTTCTCCATTAAATGAAAAAAAAAAAGAAAAGAAAAGGCAACTAATATAGAAAAAGAAATTTAATTAAAACTATCTTCATCTATCCTTTTTTATTTTTGATACCAATAAATTATAATTCTTATCGTCTTTTTCCTTTTTGATCTTACTGCCACAAAGAATACTACTAACTTCACTGGTTAGCCATTCTCTTTTCTAACATATCTCAGAAATGTGTGATCGATGGAAAAGAAAACTTTGGGCCGGGGAGCAGCAGGAACAAACAAGCTTTTCCACCGCACAAATGGAAAAATCTAAGAAGCTTCTCCATATAATTTTTGCATGTTCCCAGAATATGCTTTTTGCGTCAAGGATAGGTCAAAATCAATTAAAAATGGCGCCCAGCCTGCTCTAAAAAGGGGAGCCGTGCAAGGTACAGGGTCAATACAACAAGAAGATGCTGTTCTATTGCTACTACACTGTTTCTGAGCTCCACAAGATTGACCACTAAATGAAACTATGGGTAGTTGGGGATCTATCTAGAAAAACAAAAGATTATGAAATCCTATTTAGATTAAGATTTTTTTTCTCAGAAAAAATTTTCACTGCATAATAAACACATTTTTTAAATATCATTTTATTTTTTTAATAATCATTTTATCTCATATGCATCATATCTAAAATAATTGAACAGGGGATTATTTGCCCAAATTTATTTGCTTACATCACCATTACAATTTCCAATATACCTTTTTATCTTTTCAATTACATTTTCATCTCGCATACATCACATCACAAAAAGTGTTACAGTAATTATTTCAAATAATATTTCAAATAATCTCCTATCCAAACACAGATATTATTTTCCAAAAAAAATTCATAATCATCAGTCCAAACATACTCATAATTATAATTAACAAGGGGATGAAAACTACTTCACTAAAGTGTAAATATGTAAGATGAGATAATAAATTTCATGCCCCCAGATTGTCTATAAAAATCTAACAATGTCAGTTGTGTTATTTAGCAATACGTTTTTAGAATAAGCAACATCAGTTGTGTTATTTTAACAAGGGTTTTTCCTACGGACACCCGTTAGTACACCCAGTATTCGCCTAACCAATCATATATATACACATACTAATAATTATTATCCTCCCTTACATTTATATACTTTTCCTATTTAATCTTGCCTAAACTCTCTTATATTTATTTACTTTCCCTAATTATCCTCATATTATCAAAAATATAACACTTGAAATATATCTTAACGGACACCCATTAGACAGACCGTTTTAGCAATACTGTTATAGAATTTTCTTATAATTGATTCTCTTTTCAAAATAAAGTTTTCACCAACAATATATTCTTAGGAGAGCAACCAAATCAAGTCGCCCTCCTTATAGCTGAACAATGCTTTACCGGTAAACAATAGGTCATGGATTAAGTAATCAAGGGAGGTAAGTAAGGAACACGATCCTCTTTTTTTATATATATAAAAAAAGAAATGAATAAATAAATAAGAAGTACAATATATAGTAGCTAAAATTAGGGGTGAGCAAATTCGGTTCTTACCGAATTTATAACCGATTTCAAATTCAATTCGGTAATTTGAAATCGGATATTTGGTAATTTGGTACAAATTCGGTACGTACCAAATTCACCGAATTCTAATATGGTATGAAATAGGTAATGAGATTATGAATTAGGTAATAACCGATTTCGCATTCAAATTCGGTAATTGAAATCGGGTACCGCATTACCGCATTCGAATTACCAAATTGGTATATAAAATTATCTAATATATAGATAAATGCTATTTAGTATTAGTATATACTACTAATACTTTATTATATTATATAGGTAAATGCTATTAATAATAATTAGTATATGGTATTATCAATTTATCATCATATCATGTACTTATAATAATAATAATATATAATAATGTACAATATATTATTTTAGTATTTGTTAATTGTTATATGACTATAATAATACCAATATATAGTAATACATAACAATATAAGATAACTATAATACTTATTATTTTATACATGAGTAACATGACTAGAATTAGATAATAATTAACACATATATGTATAATACTAAATATCAAACAATAAACATAATTAGTAATTAAATTTAGATATTGGTTATTTGATACATCATTCATGTTTGAATTATTGAATATTTGAATGCGTAATCTCTAACTTGCAAGTATTAGTGTACTCTACATATTTAACATAAAAATTCATATTATCTATTCACTAATCTTAATTCTTAAGACTTTACGTATAGATAAGACAACTAAGTAGTTAGCAGTGTAAGTGAATGCATATGAATTGCAAATCAATGTACTAGTGTATTGACTTTCACAATAATATATGTAAGTAAATAAGTTTTATTTTGATTTGAAATAAATTATAAGTTTGTAAGTAATATAACTTATCACTACTCATTGTAATTTGTAAGTTTGTAACTAATATAACTTATCACTACTCATTGTAATTTGTAAGTTTGTAACTAATATTACTTATTATTAATCATTGTAAATTATAAATTCATAAATTATCACTAATCATTGTACAGTCTAAGGTTTATTCTAGTTTAAATTAATCACTTTTTATGTGTTCCTTAAATCATAGACTAATGATTTTAGGCATAAGTTATCAAATAAGTTAAAATTCATATTATCTATTTACTAATCTTAAGGCTTTAAGTATAGACAAGACAACTAAGCAGTGTAAGACTATAAGTGAATGTATGTGAATTGCAAATCAATGTATTAGTGTATTGACTTTCACAATAACATGTGTAAGTAAATAAGTTTTATTTTGATTTGAAATAAATTATAAGTTTGTAACTAATATAACTTATCACTAATCATTGTAATTTGTAAGTTTGTAACTAATATTACTTATTATTAATCAGTGTAAATTATAAATTAATTGTAACTACTAACTAATATTGCTTATAATTAATCATTGTAAATTATAAATTCATAAATTATCACCAATCATTGTATAGTCTAAGGTTTATTCTAGTTTAAATTAATCACTTTTTATGTGTTTCTTAAATCATAGACTAAGGATTCTAGGTATAAGTGATCAAATAAATGCCAATTAAACCACAAAATGATTAGAACATAAGTAATGTGTTCAATTATGAATAAATTTAGGGATCAAATCAGTAATAATTTATAAATCATAGATGAATTCGGTTTAACCGAATTCATTACCGTTTTCGAATTTGAAATCGGTTGCGGAATGAATTCGGTTATGCCCAATTCGGAATTGAAAACGGTTTAAATTTTTATAGGTAGAATAACCGAATTCACCGAATTCAGTGCACCGAATTACCGAATTTGCACCGAATGCACACCCCTAGCTAAAATGAGGAACAAACATGAAAGATAGTTACTTTTTTTTTTCTTTATTCTTTATCATCATTCATTTCCCTGAATTGCTGAAAACCGTTTTGATCCAAGTCTTATTCCATCAAACTGCCACGCGCTTTTGCACAATAGACGACTTAGACGGTGAGTTCACAAGCCATGTTAGAGCTGCCTCGCATTTTGACCAACTACTCCTCTACCCGGATTCATGATGTTCCAATTTGCAAATTAATTAATAGTAGCACACAAAAAAAGACCAAGCCAAAATCATTCAAATTTTGTGTCAAAATATATTAAGAAAATACATTAGAGTCACCAACTCAAATTTTATTTACATCTCAAAGTAATGACATTAAATTATTTGCTTCAAATTCACGTATGTTTAAAAGAGTATATATATATAAGATTATATGTAAATCCTCACGCGTAGTTTTGAACTCAGGATTTCTAAATATTTGAGTTTTATGTTCGACATAAATTAATAAGTATCATTTTATTTTTTTCAGCGAGCTATGAAAAATCTATTATCATTGATAGGAAAATATAATGAATGCCCGCATCAGAAAAGATTTCACAAATTTGATTGAATCACATCCCTATCGTCTCAGAAGAATCACCAAAAAAAAAAAGGAAAATAAATCTTATCCTCAAAAAATACTTACTAATAGCAAAATAGGCCCTTCTATTATACTAGTAGTATATGGAGATTTTTTTTTTTTTTTTCAACACAAGAGGTACCCGAGTCAATATTTACGGGCCCCGACTAATCTCCACTGCGATCCGGGAGAGGAGGAGGTAGATACTTGAGCACACCAAAAGGGCCAAAGAAGGCACACAAAAACAGAAAAGATGAGGATGGGATGGAAGTGTGGAAGAGGAAAGGCCGATCCAAGTCTGAAAGCCAAACTCCCAGAGTCTAACCCCATCTTCTACGTGGGACCCGGAAGCCGATTCCTCTCCTCATCATCCAGCTCAATCCTATATGTCTCGCTGGCACTCTTCCCACCATACCCAGAAAATCCCCCCTCCCCCCCCCAGCAAAACAACCCTCCCCAAAACCTGCCCTTCTGCCCCATTCCACCGTTACATTTACACCACAACACCGAGCTAATCTTGGATTACAGCTTGGGATTACTGAAACACCAATTAAATAATATAGATAATTGGTTAAAATTAGGTAAATATACAAGATGCTGATTCTCGGTCTAGATTGTGTCACGTCAGTTCAGCTGAATTTCAGTCGTCCAATCTAAATTTAAAAGATAAAAAGTTTCATTCTTTTATCTTGATTTTATAATTCCAGTTGAACTGTTACCAACTCAGCATGATCTCGGCCGTTCAACGTTCTCTCTAATTGCATCTCGCTACGGTAAAAGATTGATTTGTTAAGCCACGTATGCTCAAATTACTTCAAAATCTTAAACTAATCAGTGCCTGAATGTCATTTAATATCTCCAAACAAAATACCACTTTCTTTTTCTTTAGAGATTTCAATGCCTCATCCCATGACATCCCAACCGCCTGCCCAACTCTCTCTCTCTCTCTCACTTCCCCTATCTTTGGTGTGAGGACGTTATTAATACCCTCATCATCTTCTTGCTCTCCCCCTTCTATATTGCTGCCACTATATATATAGCTGGCCACCATTTTTTTTCTTTCTTTATGATTTCATTTAACCAAATCTTCCCTGCCTAAAACTACCCATCAATTGCACTAGATAGTATACTAGTACCTTTTATAATGATTACCTTTTGCAAGAAAAGTGTACACAACTTCTTAGGCTCTTCAAACACCAATGACAATGGAACAGTAGACCTACCATCCTTCTTGCACCACCACCACCAAAATACTACCTCCGACGGCCAGCAACCGCCTGATGCCATCGAGAAAACACCACATTTCTCCAATCTTTTTGGTACTAGTACAACTTTGGCAACAAGAACCAAGAGGGATCCTGGTGGAATGGGTTTTGTTGGAGGGAGTGTAGATGGATTGATGTCTTGTACAGAGAGTCTAGGATTCGAGAGCTCAGATGAGAGAAGGGTTGATGATCAAATTGAGAATTTAGATGTCATTGAGGAGTTGTGTTCGAGAAGAGAATCAATGGCTGGATCAAGATGGAAAAGAGAACATGTAAAAAGAGAGGCAAGGCAGTTTCCACCGCCATTATCTTCCTTGAATCAAGATGGTAAGCCAACTTTCTTCCTTCGCCCCGTGAGGAAAGACGGCAAGTTAGAGCTTCAAGAAGTGAAAATAGGCCGGCAGGAGATTTTGCGTGCTTCTCGGGAAGATGGAAGGCTTAGACTACATCTCATCAAGAATGAAGATGAAGATTTTGAAGAAGAAGAAGAAGAAGAGGAGGAGGAGGAGGAAGAGGAGGAGGAGGTGGAGGAAAGAGCAGTACAAGAAGAAGAAAACATGCAAGAATTTCAAGAAAATGTTCAAGAAATGGAGGAAGGACAGATTGGGGAAGAGGAAGTGAAAGAGATGGTGGAAGAAAGGGCTGAAGGGTGGCAAATTCCGGCGAACCCGGGTGGTGGTGGGGAGGGTTTTCTAAGATGTCATGAGCAAGTGAGCCACCATCAAAACCACCACCACCACCACCATGGACGCCATGGCCACCATCATGACTTGAATGTCTGGAGGCAACATTGTCTGACAATCAGGTGAAGAAATGCAGTGAGAATGTGGACCACATCAAAAATGGAAAAAAAAAAAAAAGAAAAAGAAGAAGAAGACAAGCCATGCATGTCCAAATCTGTTCAGAAATCAGAACTTCAGACTCTATTTTCTGCTAAGTTCTATCAGAAATTCAGAAGAATCAGAACCCAAAAAGAAGAATGTTTGGTGACATGCATTTTGGTTTTGGAGCCCAAGTCATGTATTGATTGGGGTGTTGTGCAGTTCCACTCTCTGATTGAGGTCTGGGAAATGATAGCAATGGCCTAATCAATCACAGATTTCAGTGCGCGTTTGTGAGTGTGAGAGAAAGGGATTTATATTTATTTAGTTTTTCCCAAGAATAAAAAAAGAACGAAATAGATTACCAAAAAAAAAAAAAAAAAAGAATGAAATAGAAAATTGTTTTTTAAAAAAAAGTAAATCAATATCATGGTCCTAGTAATCAGTGTAGTTGTCTTCCTGTAATTCCTATATTTAGAAATTCCATGAGTTACACAGCTTAGGCAAAATAACATGCAACTTGAAGCCTTCTCTTTCAGTCTTTCTTTCCTTCTCCGCCTGGCTGCTGGATTAAACCAATTAAAACTACAACTAAGCAACCTTAGATAATGGATAACTATTAGCAGTATTATTGCAATTCTAGATATCAAATTGATCAATGAAGGTTACATCAAAGTTTCAAGAAGTACGTATATATATATATATATATATATATAGTGTATCAACTACTAATGCATTCCTTAATTATTGATGACAGATGGAGTTTAATTTAATAATTTCCCTCACAAGATGTATAGAACATTCCTTTCTTTTCTCTTTGTTGGTTTGTAATGCATGGAATGGTTTTCGCTTTGCAATAAAATAACAGTAGTAGCTGTTAATGTGTCCATTACAGATTTGCACAAAAAATGCCAAACTTTCCCTTGTCAAGTTCACATACAATTTGTACCTTAAAAAATTGAAGTAAATTTGGCAGTTTCAATAGAAGTTGCTGTGGGAATGAATATTGGATTATGGCAATACATATCACTTTCCTACAATAATATGAGTTCCAATCACCCAAATGCAGCTAGTTGAATATGGGATTACTAAGCATCTTAAGAAGCAATCATCGATTAATCATCAGACCTGCAAAGACCTACTCAACCGCATAAAGAAATAGTACAGCATGAACGGGTGCAGTTGCCCAAGACCATATAGGTTTTTTAACATGTGTATTCATCCTTTTTTTTGTTTTTCTTTTGGGGGGGGGGTGGGGGAGACGCTAGCTTAATACTGTAGAACTCAAATTTAGAGTTTTAATAATAATTAGTACGTGCAGGGTTATAAAATTGAAGGATAAAATAAACGCTCATATGTGGGAGGGAAGAAAATAAATAATTCATACTATTATTGAAATCTCAAACAATGAAAAACATAATACCACAATAAAACTTTACAGATGAAAATAGCAAAAAAAATGCGAGGGGCGTTTAAAAAAAATGTAATAGTTAGCAAAAAAAAAAAATAACAAAAAAAAAATGACTTGTATAAGAAATTATCAAATAAAACACAAGCTTCTAAATAACGCAACTTCTAAATTCTGACTCCAATAAAATTAGTAAATAAGTAAATAAATAAAACTTCTAGATTGGGTCTATTTTGCCAACAAATGCGAGGGGCGTTTAACAAAAATGTCATCATATACTTGTCTAGTGATGTATTAGACAATTAGTAGTTTTTTCCTTTTTCAAGTTTTCTGAAACTCAACTTTGCCTTAGAACATTAATTAAAGCTAAAAATAACAGTAATAGTTAGACTTATTTGATGCATGATTAACATTCATCGACTCCTCATCCCCTTCTCTTGAAACTTGAAGGTTAGTCCTTTTTATTGTTTTGGGTAGCCTACGTCGTAGAGCATGGATATATAAACATCAACTTTTGCATTTTCAATGTAGGTTTAGACATCTACTTTGTAATACTACTAGTGTGTTTTAATTTGTTGAAACAAACAGTTTGTCTTTTCAATAGGCATATGATTGAGTTATTTTGCTACGTACGGTGTATTAACTTTGAACTGGCTGCCCAAAAAAAAAAAAAACTTTGAAATTGGTGCTTGAGCTTCTTGTTAAAAGAACAGGTGTATCAATCTAATTGAATTGTTAAAGAAGGAAATTAAAGAACTCAATTTGGGTTGTACTCATTAGCCGTCATTTGACTTGTACAGCTACAAATCATTGAGCCTTGTAGGGAAATAACAGACATCCAAAAGGGTCTGAATGAGACATCTTAATTAAATGATAAAAGTCGACAATAAAGAATGCTCCAAATAATGATAAAGGAAGAAAGGAATTGTTTTCCCTGTTTTTTTAACGTAAAGGGATGTGACGTTAGTATAATTTTATTGAGCAGTCAAATATACTTTTTTTTTTTTAAAAAAATAATCAAATGAAAGAATGATTAGGAATATACTCTTACCATCAAATATACTCTTACCTAGGCATGGCCATGGTCCATTTGGAACCAGGAACCGGATCGTTTGGAATCGGACCAAAACCATGGAATCAGAACCGTGGTAGAACCTTGGATAAAGGTTTCGGTTCTGGTTCTCTAAAAAATAGAATCAGAACCAGAACCGCCGGTTCCAGAATCGTTAAAAATAATTAAAAATAATTAATATAAGTAGTGAGATAATTCAAAAAAAAAATAGTTGTGTTTAATAGGTTTTAAGAAAGTTTAAATTTTATGGACTTTCTATATATTTTATTAATTCTTTAATTCTTTCTATTCATCTAATATCTATCATTATAATTTGTAAGTATTAAATTATTACTTACAATTTTTTTTTGCTTATTTGCTATCAAATGACAAGTTTTGATGGTAGTAGCTTAGCTTCAAAATCAAGCAAGCAAAAAAATATTTTTTGCAATATTTCTTCAAATGGAATCTTCAACATTGATGATTGTCCAACTCAATAAAACCAACACATGACAACCATTTGGTAGTGTAATGTATTTTTTAATTTGACAATGTAATGTACTTTTCATAAAATTTATATTATCTATTTATTACTGCTTACTTTGTAGAATAATAATAAAATTAAAATATGATCTTTATTTTGTATTTATTTTTTTACATTTTATTTGAAAATTTAAATATATTGTTATATTCGTATTAAAATTGGTAAGGATAAGGAATTAAATAAAATTGTATATAACCATACGGAATCGGAAACCAAAACCAAAACCATAAGGAACCAAAATCAGAACTATGCGGTTCTAGTTCTGGTTCTGGTTCTACCTCTTTGAAGAACCAGAACCAGAACCATCTTATATGGTGCGGTTCTGGTTCTACCTCTTTGAAAACCAGAATCGTTGGTTCTGGAACCGTGGCCATGCCTACTCTTACCAATTATCATCGAAGGTAAGGATTGAGTTGGACGGTAAGGGAGGAGAGATTATAAGTAGAAGATCTTGTGTTCAACTCTTCCCATTTAAAAAAAAAAAAAAAACTCTTACCATCAAATGTAAGAATAATTAGGAATATCCTATCAAAAGATCTAGGATATGCTAGCTTGCACTCTGTGTTCTTTTTTTAAGTGCAGTATTGCACATTCTCTGGATTCTTTTAAATGTAGATGTAGAGGTTCAAACACCCAATTCATTGAATAAGGGGGATTTTAAATCCTTTCTTGGTAGCCAATTTATCAAGAGCAATTTGATTTTTTTGCAACCTTCATTATCATGGTCAAGGGAGATTCTTTTGAATGTAGATGTAAGGGTTCAAACACCCAACCTATTGTTCAAGAGCGATTTTTAATCCTTTTTGGTGGTCAACTTATCTAGAGCAATTTGGTTTGTTTGTAACCTTCATTAACACGGTCTTTATAGGTAGTTCATGCACATCCTGTGCAATAGATAAGATTTATACACACATACATATATATACATGTTAAAATTCGAAGATAAAGTTGTTAACCGAACCACGTAATCATGATCCTGTAATTGGGTGAATTTGTGGCTAATAAGAATAGAGTTAGACCAAGTCATTGTTCAATTTCTACTCTTTTTTTGTTCCTAGATAGGAGATTTTAAACTCAAGATATCTTATTTATAATTCCTCTCACTATATCGTCCCAACATAACCCTCCCCTTGTTTGATCTCTACTTGATTATTCTCCTTGAACTTTCTTTATTTTGCAAAAATCAGCTTTAAAATTTTTCAACGAGTCAAATTTATTTAGTTATTGAGATATATAGCATATTTAATTCTTAGTTGTTTGGGGCAAAAAATGGGAATGGTAAATAATGCAACTATTTTTAATTCAAGAAAAGAAATGTGAATTGCTTGGTTTTAATGAAGGAAATGTCAGCTGCTGGTAAAAATTGGAAAGGGGAAAACGCAAAGCGTCGACAGCAGGGTTCGAACCTGCGCGGGCGGAGCCCAACAGATTTCAAGTCTGTCTCCTTAACCACTCGGACATATCGACTTTGTTGAATGGAAATGTTAACTGCTGATAAAACCTTAAAAGGGGATATGAAAGGGAAAAACACAAAGCGTCGACAGCAGGGTTCGAACCTGCGCGGGCGAAGCCCAACAGATTTCAAGTCTGTCTCCTTAACCACTCGGACATATCGACTTTGTTGATTCTGCGATCAACTCTATAATTATGTTTAGATATCAACTTTATTGATCGCCCCTACAACTATCTATATTCGCTTAAAACACAGAAGGGCAAAATGCACACAAAGAAGAAAACTATTTTCACATAACAATTCTTTAAAATTTTATAACTTTCTATTTTTATAGGAGCTTTCAATCTATCTCTCATTTTATTGATAGATCTAAATTTATTTTAGATCTGGTTGTCAAATTTGAAAATTTTTGGATCTTCAATCTATTTCGACAGATCCTATCATCATTATTGGAATTTAAAATCGTTGATTAGTAAATTTGGAAATTGCAACATGTACAAAAGAGAGATGCAGTGATTTATTTATTAGAGAACAATTGTGAAAATAATTGTATCTGAGTTGTTAAATTGCAGACGTGTAATTTCTAATGCATGTTTAATCTTCTATTAGGGCAATGATGTATATCAAATCGTGTTGGATGATTTCTAGCAATTTGTTAATGAAATTTGCTTTTATCAAAAAAAAAAATATTGGTATCAACAAACTCACACGTATAATGTATTCTCGAATATTTAGTGAAATCAATTTTGTTCTGATCAATGACGACCATTTATTTTTATTTATGATAATAACATCAATTGAGTCAGTATCTCTCT